GGTGAACGCCTGCCTGGGGTGAACGCCCTCTTATCTGGTGCGCCTTGCCTGTCCGGTTAAGTTGCCGCTGACGTGACTTCACAAGAATGGGGGGGGGGGGGGGGCGCTTCAAGCGCAAGGAAAGAGAGAGGACTTGGGCGAGCTCAGACTCCTCCATTCCTTTATCTAGTTTGTGAACAAACCGAGAGGGTAAAAATGAAAACACTTTAAAGTAGTATATGTCTCGAGGGGGCAATAACTCCGGGAATCATGTGTACACCTGTCTGGGAATCATCAGGATAAAAATTGATCAAAATCAATAGAAATCGCTTAGAATAAGCGGGAAACTAGAGAAATAAGTATAAATCAGTCGAAATAAGCGTTTTATACCACTCAAACCCCTCGAAAAACCTATGTAATAATTATAAGCGGACGGGAATCACCGGGAATCAAGAATTTCGGGAATCATGTGTACACTTCAAAAGGGAGTTATTGCCCCCTCGATATGTCTTAAGAAAGATGGAAACTTGCTGAAAATCGTGACGATGTAAAAAGAACTAGGGTGGTCCTCGCTCGGCGATAGCCGCGTTCCCACGGGTGGGTTGCGAGTCTTTCCTAACGCGTATCAGCCGCTTCTTTTTCGCGTTGCTCCCGCGTGCTTTAGGCCCCCATCTCCTGACGCGCGGCGCAGCGCGGCTGAGCGAGACAATGTTGGCTATCAAGAGGAGCGACAAATCACGTGACACCGCCAACCAAACAAAACAGAGGTCGGCCATTCAAGTATCGAAAACTTCGAAAATAAAATCAGTGTGTGGGGGAAAATAATAATACACTCAAAGAAAAAGCACAGTGAAAAAGAAAAGTGCTGATAAATACAAAAAAGCTGATTATTCGGCACGGTTCGTTTGCCCACGAAACGACGAGGATGAAAGATAGGGGGCCTCCGATGGAAGAAGTGCGTTGAGCCGGTACCCCTGTCGTCTTCGTATTTTCCACGATAGGACGATAGAGGAGCTCAGCGGCAAGGCCCTTGAACGTCGTCAATGTTCCAGAGAGAAATTCATGACGAAACGATATCGTTTCGACGTCGATTCCATATCCCACCATTTCAACATAGTGTCGATGACGGTTCAATGTCGATTCAACCTAGGGTGATCTATCGTCCTCGATTCAATCACTGCAATTTCTGACTGGTCGTCGCTCTGAAACCCTCTTTGAGACGTGCCGTTAAACACCCCTGTTTCTCTGAACGATCGCTGCGATGGCGCAGGAGGCGCGACGACATTCGCGGAACCCCGCACCACCGCGCGGCGCCGCGTTTTCCACGTTTTTCGCAAAGTCCGCCTCGTTTCCCGCGACCCCCTGCTCGCGCGCCAGCCCATAGCACGCCGCCACCACATCCCGCGCAGAAAGCGAAAAGAAATTCGATCAATCGCCGATACTGCATTGATGAGGGAGCCACACAGGGGGCGCGGGTCGGGTGTCGCGTCCGCCGCGTGAGCAGTGTCTGAGCTGCAGGCTAGCCACGTGCGGGGCGCGCCGCTCGTTCAAAAGAGTGACTTTGCTTGCTTTGCTTCCCCCGGGGCGGCGCCACGCACGGCACGTCCTCCGCGGGGCTGCTCGTGTTTCAATCGCTAAATTATTTGCGTTTTATTCGCATTCACACCATCATCGGGTAGCAACGCTCGTTATCGCCCGGGGCTCCTCCCGCGGCTGGGCGGGCGGACGGGCTTGCGGCGGTGAGGCACCAGACGGGCCTAGGAGGGGCCCATATCATCTTGTTTCACTTATTAAACGTAGCGCCCAACGAGTTGCGCAAGAGGAATACAGTGTGTGTCGTGTGCACAGTCACAACTCGGGGCTAACATACAGTACAGGGATAGTTTTTGAAGAAGGAAACGACGGAACGTTCTCATAGTTCCGAATTGATTTCCCGAAAGGAAAGGTGACCGTGGGTTAACAGAAACTCTTAAAAGGTGGGGAAAATAATCCGAAATAGAAACGAAAATGAACATAATGGAACGAATATCCAGCAACGGACGTTAGTGTGACGGTATAGAGCGGTACAGAGGGAGAGTGATACCGGGGGTGGGGCGCGGGGGCGGGGGTAGAGATACTGGAACAAAAAGAAGAAGCGAATAGAAGAATGTTGCGATAATGTTTCCTAAAGATAAAGATTAGTGCTGTGCGACCCGGCTAACGTGGCCCGGATTACAGCGCGATCCATTATTTGGCAGGTGAACGCTCGCTGTGGACACACAGCTGAGCAGCACGTATCTCCGCACCCTTTGTACCCCTTGCGCGCCAAAAGGAAACAGTGAGAAAAGCAGAGGCTTCTCACCTCACATTGCCTTCATGACAAGTCGTACGTAAAAAAAAGTAAAAAACAACAACAACTTTTTCCTTCCGACGCAATAATAATAAATACACCTGACTTCGCAAAATAAGCATATGGTTCGCCTCGCCGGTGGCGAGCAGCTAGATCATAAAAATTTATGGACGCAACCCCCGCCTCCGCCCCCACTTACCCCTCACCTTTCCCCCACTCCCCGTATGCTTCGCAAAAGGTCCCACGGCGTCCGTGATTATATTGATGTAATATTCCGGGGGCGTAAAGTGGACCGACGGCGCGCGACTAAGGCGCACCATGATGGCTAATCTGATTGCTGCTGTCGATGTTATGGCCAGTTTTGAGCCACCGCATTCATTTTCCTGAGCAGATGATACATTATTCCAACACAGGTCTGTCTACTTTGCACTTCGAAGTGAACCAGACCTGGTTGTTTAATTGAATTGCGATCAAGTCCCAGCTGATACCAAATCGCACAACACAAATTTCCGACAGAATTTGACATTACTGAGTTGGCAAAGACTTTGACTTTGGCCCCTGGACTGCAGCAAGCACGACATGAGCCGAAACCGGGCGCGCGGACCCCGTCGCCCGTCGCATCGCCAGTCGCCGTCGCCCCAGCAGAGCGGCAGCAGAGCCGGGCCGAAAGCAGCATCCAGCAGCAGCATCAGCATCCCCCGCCGAAAACGGAACCGGTCCAGAGGCCAAGTCTCTGCCACATCGGTAATATCCAGTGGTACCCTACTGCGGCGGGGCGTGGCGGGGCG